TGTTCTTAAGTATCCGATTCGCAGTCTTGTTAGGATAACGCCTTCTCTTCTTTTCAATTGGACATCCGCTGTTTTTGGAATTACAGAAAGTTCGACTATTCTCAATTTATTATCTTTTAAATTAAGCCAAAGAAAGTACTGTTTATTATGAGCCCTTCTATTTTCCTTCTTTTTTTTTTTTACCAAAATTATTATTTCATTTGTGAAAGCTTCTTCTCCTGCAACTCCCTCTTCCACTGTTTTTTTTTTCTTATATGTTATTGGTTAGCTCATTTTCTCAAATACCAGAGCGATCCGGACCACAAAATGTGTACTTTACATCCAACATTCTGCAATGTTTGTAGATGCCTCGCTGTATCTCTAACTAATGGATTCATTAAAATAAAATCCTTAACTCAATACTTAAATATTATTCTATCTTGATTATTCAATAACTAATCCAATTTTTAATTAAAAATACCTGGTGTGTCTACTCAAAGTACTTTCCTTACAGTTTCAAATGGAAAAATAATATAAGAATTATTTGCTGCACTGAAAGTCTTTAAAAGTTCAATAGATTTTTTGTTCTTGATTTTAATGTTTTTTTAATTTATGATAATTTAAATTAAATGCCTTTCATATTAATATATATATATAAAGGTTAATATATCTTTTATATATATATATATATATATATATATATATATATATATATATATATATATATATATATATATATATATATATTGTATATTATAATATAATATACAATATATTTTATATATATATTGTATATTATAATATACTATATATATATTAAGGTTTAGTTATCACTATAACTTTTTCTAGAAGATGTAAATAAAGATTAAATACGAAACACTTCTCTTCGTTAATTTACTTGACTAAACAGCAAGAAGAAAAAAATTATTATTTGATTACGTTTCGAGATGTGGGAGTAATGAAAGTGCAGAAAATGACCCCGACCTGTTTTAGACTCTTTTATTCGGCCCGGTGAAGATAGCGCGGAAAATAAGAGATGCCCTTCGGAGATCTCATTTATCCCCTCTTTATAAAACTGTCCCGTCCAATGAGAGATTAAAAGAATCCTGACAAAAAAGAACGAAAAGAAGAAAAGCCAGAAGAGGGTTTGAAAGCCATTTTCTAATTTAACGTTCAGTTCACACCCTGCTAAGTTTTCCATACCTTCCTCGCCCCCTCCAAGATTATAGGATTATCCTTTTGGAAATGGATACTTTGCCTCCTGCCCCGATCAAATCTTGAACAATAGCCAATTAATTACTCAAAAAGAGTTCCCGATACCTTCTTTGTCACTTTTTCTCCTTTATATAAGTAATTTTCAAAGGAACTCGGAGCTCACTCTTCCCATAAATCCTTGAGGGTTTACTTCCTTAATCTTTTGAATATTATTTCCTTAAGGGTAAAGTGTTTTAATTTAATATAAAAAAAAACTTTTAATTAGCTCCAGATCCTTCCTCTTCAATTATTCTTTCGAAATCAATTGTTCTTCTGTGAATGCATGAAAGATTTTTCTATAGTTTAGACGTAAACTTCAAGAAAATTTCTTATTTATTTGAAATAAAACCGAAGGTGAAGAAATAGCACTGAATTCTATGATAAAAACCCATTTAACTTCGAAATCACAAAATAAGCATTGTGGGACCATTTGTAAATGGACCAAAAAAAAAAAATCAACCACTATATTTAATAGTTGGTTTCTATCATCTAATAATGATAAATTAGCAAGCTTAAGATCTATAAAACGCTAAGAAGGGAAAATATTTTATATAAAGCGTGGACATTAAAATTACAAATATGTCAGTCTTTGTCCAAACTAGTAAAGCATCAAACGAGATGATGATAGCATAGACAGAGGCTTTCCATTCTGGTTGTGAGGGCTATGATCTCCTTCTCCTACCCCTAAATAGTCTCGGGCGCTTATATTTTAAAGTAATTATGAGTGGTAATTAAGAAAATCAACATAATTATTGTAAAACGAGCAATAAAGTACTATATACTTAAAAATAGTTTATATATTAGTTTTTCTTTCTTATGGGTGTATTTCAAAATACTTTACCAAGGTAATTAAATATATTACATTTATTTTTATTTGAAGGATTGTGGTAGTCAGATGAACTATTAATTCTCCGATGCTTCAAATTTGCTGTGGGAGATGCGATAAAACTTTAATGTAAAAATGGAAGGATGGACATGAATAAATTATAAAATCCTAGAATATTCTGCTACATATAATAATCTATGAATATGAATAAAATAATATGTACAGAGGCTGTAGTAAACTACTTGCGTACCTCTTCTAGCCCTTAGCTTAGCTACATCTCTTCCTATTTTCTTAATTGATTTTAGATTACATATTTCATTCATTCTTACAGATTTATTGTTAATTTATTAATTGGAGGGGAGGGGCGATCACCTCGCAAAATCTGTTCCTACGGCACAGTCTTTTTTTTTAACTATAGCGGTAATGACTTATACACCTTTTTATAAATCTGTATAAAATTATGTTTAACTGGTTCTTGGAAGCCTTTTACAATAACAGCAAAATTAGTTACAGAAATAATAATGCTTTTAGGAGATGTATTTTTAAAAAAATTTCTTGACATGATATTTAATACTTTTATCCAAGTTATAATTTTTTATTTTATTTTTTATTTCTTAATGACATTTACAACTGTATTACATAAATACATCAAGTAAATTTGGACATAATAGATATAATGACATGAATACACTTGCTGAGTAACTACCCAATGGTAGCACTCTAATGATATGACTACATTAGGAGATCACGGGGCCATCTTCTTTTCAGACGCCTCGGAGGGTTATCAGGAATTGAAGAGGAAGCAAGGTTAGAAACGAGAGGATTGGGATGATTCTGAAGTTTATTATGGAAGGATAGGTATCTGGATTGGGCCAGATCTGAAACATAAGGAACATTAAGATCTTTATGGATAATTTTATTAGTGACAAAGTAAGGAGCATTGAGGATTTTACGAAGGATTTTGGATTGTAAAGATTGGATGCGAGAGGAATTCGATGGTTTAGCGGAGCCCCTTAGCTCAACTCCGTAAGTCCAAATAGGTTTTATTATAGTCAAGTATATGAGTCTTTTGTAATTAATGGGAAGTTTAGAGCGTTTGTCTAGTAAGTGCTGAAGTTATTGGAAACATCAAGCGGTTTCTTGTCGTTTCAGTCTAGTATGAGGATTCTAAGTTAGTCGTTTGTCCAGGTGGAGTCCAGTTATAATTTAAAAACAGTACATAAGGTGATTGTTTAATTATTAAGCTCAGATCACACTTAGAAACGAATATGGACCAATGAAAAACATTATATACATATTCTGCTTTTCGGGGGAAGCTTCACCCCGAAAGCCCCCCTCCCCTCGTGGTTTCGTCAGTAGGTCTACGTAGTATTCTATAATAATCTCTTCATTCCAAAAATTTGTAAACCTGACAAAATGTGCTTCCTCAAAATGTTTGATGGCGCGACTTGAATGAATGGCCTCCTGGCCACCTTCTGATCGAGATTTGGACATTTGCTTTTCTAGATGCATGTTTGTTAGCCAAGCGAAGGGGCGATGTTGACAAGCGATATCAAAACAAACCAATATGAGCGTCTTCGTCCATTCTGGCTTCATATTCAATTTGGGATACACTGCTGCATCACTTATGTTTAATTATGTTATCATCCGACTAACCGTTCATCGCCATCGCACCCTCGCACGATGGCTATGTAGGGTATATATGTAGGGGGGGGAGATAGAGACATATCTCTCTACTGTCGGTTCAGCGTCACAAAACACCAATGTTCAGACTCTCCAGCGCACAGTGGGACGACAGGCGGGTTTTCGTGGACAGGGGCCTAGAACTCGTAAATGATGTTAGATTAACTTGATATTTAGTACACTTATGTTTTCAAGGCCAAGGAATGACGACATATGACGTGAAAATTTGTAGGACAATAAATTAACGTAAAAAATGATAAAGACCTCTTAAAACGCATAATGTTAGATACCTATTTATAACTATTGTCTATATTAATACATACAACCGTTATTTGTATTTTTTTTTTGAAATTTTAAAAACATAATATATCACAAAATATAATTATAATATATGTATTTGTAATAACTTAAAAAATGTATCTTTTATTAATTATAAATATTCATTTTATAATAGTTCATATGGAATAAACATTTTACTTTATTTTTATTACAAAAAAAATTAAAAAACATCGATAATGATATTTTGAATACCATCTATACTTTCTCACATTTTCCGACGAAAAGAATATCTAATTTTTTAATTAATTTTAAAGATTATATTAACAACTGATGCAGATCAAGTCAAAAAGGTTCAACCAAATACTCTCAGATTCAATTTACCGTTTTGAAATTATAATGAAATTTAAAAAGAATAAGGATTAGAGATGGAAAACAATTACAATTTTTTACTAACAGGCATCTTAGTGGAACAAGTAAATAAAAGCTGATTTTTTCCTTGAGGCAGTCTTATATCCATTGACACCACCTTTTATTTAATTTTAAACTTTAGTTCATTTAATGGTCTTATGTTTGTTTATTTATTTATATAATAGTGAAGATAAAGCATGGTTATGTACAGTTAAAAGAATAATATATATACTTATATGCTCTTAAAATATTACACTGAGCATTGTGTAATTTTTCTGACTTAGGTTGGATCTCACCAACTCAATACACTTTTGATTTTCTTTTGAGATCTCTAAATTTTCATTAAAAAAGTAAAATTTGTGCATTGGAAATAAATAGACCAGTGTAATTAACCATAACTTTTACAGATCAAGAAATGTATGATAAAATGCAAATATCAAGAATAAGCATGATAATATTTCATTGTTATAAATAAATTTTTGACTAGTGAACCAATTTTTTTTTCATTCTTTTTTATAATGATTACTTTCAAACAGTGTTTAACATGAACATTTGTTTCTCTTTTCAACAGTTGGAAGCTGTTTACAGCAGCTCTGATTCTTTGAGCAAGTGGTACAAGAAGATAACCATCGATGACTTTAGGTAAGCTATTTAAACCTCATTGTCATATTTGACATATTATAACATATAAGTTTTAATTTTTCTTTTTTGAGCTTGCTAATAAAATATATCATAACCGAAATGAAAACTATTGTCAAACACTAATTTTATTCTCATTAATTTCATCAAAATTAATTTTTACCATAAGAATTTTAGTAATAGAACAATTATAGTGTTTTCATAAGAAATATTAATTATTCCTCTTTCATTTCCTTCTTATGAAATTACAGTGTCAAAATTGAAGAATTTTCTATTGTAGAATTTATATTTATTTATTTTTTGTTATTTTAAATTTGCCACTGCATTGGAACGCATCAAGCAAATGTGTTATCTCTAGGCCACTGCCTTTTTAGTCATCTTTGAGGGTCACCAGTTAACAGGGAGGAAGATAGAGATAGTATGAGTGGATTTGGATGATTGAGAGTAGAAGAGTAAAATGTTGTGTACTTGTTGTGTATGTAGGATTTTACTTTTGATATGTTCATGTCTGTGTGTATGGTGTGATTTGAAATAAACCAAGGAGCATTGACGATTTTAAGGAGTATTTTGGATTGTGTGGTTTGAATTTTGTTTATGTGTGTGTGTTCTGCGGAACCCCAAAGTTCTGCTCCGTATGTCCAAATAGGTCTTAGTATAGTGGTGTAGATTAGTCACATGTTTAGTAAGTTGAGTGGAGATCTGTAGTCTAAAAGATGTGACAGTTGTTTGTTAGTGTCAGTTCTTGTTTTTTTGATTAAGTGTGAATGTTCCAGGTGAGTTTTTTGTCCAAGTATAGTCCGAGATACCGAACACGTGTAGTAATGTCATTTAATAGAATGTCATAGTAGAATTAGGCAAAAGTTTTAATTAAAATGGTTATTATTTATTTCTCGAGGCAAATAAGATTCGATTATAAAATCACCTTAGTATATAATACAATATAATAAAGGTGACAATAGAATAATATAAGAAGAATTAGGAAGTTGTTTACACTAGATGTTCACAACCTTTCAATTTCAATATCATGCTTTTATTTAGTAAAATTACTAATACTATTTTTATTTTATTTTAATATTAATTGATGTAATGATGTAAGTATATATTTTGATTATTTCTTCTCTCAACCTACAATCTTTGGTAATTAATTTATTACATAATAACAACAGAAGCGAAGTTTGCTTTTGTACAATTTTTTGATATTTTAATTTCTTTAAAGTAATATATGATATTTAATTAAAGTAATAATATTTTATAGCTTATTTTAAATATATTTGGTAGTTAAACTAATATTAATCAAAATATAGATTCTCAAAAAGATAAAAAATAAAATAAAATCTCAATAGTTGAGTGCACAATTTACAGATAGGTCTACATGTTCCAATCAACAAACATTGGTGGTTAGGTAGTGTGTGTTCGATTCGGAGTCTTAGTGTACATTCCTTTACAATAACAGTGACCTTAATAAATATTTTTCTATAACAAACCTCTCTTAGCCTTAGGTATGGTTATAATACGGAATAAAAATTTCTGTACACATATTTTTTTTTATTTATTTATCAGCTTGACAAGCAAAGGAAGCTTCCCTTGACCCTTTAACTGTCTTTCTTTGTCATCACTGTCAGGTGCTCATCTGGATGAAATTCTTATCATCCTTCCTCAGACACTCCGCCTTCCTTTCGGCCTTCTGCATGGTCTGACTCCATCTTGAGTTTATTAGTAAAATACTTCAGTTGCTCGCTGATCATTACCTGTCTTAGTCATTTGGTACATTGATCTCACATAAAATAAAAGCTCGAAGATCATTATATATGTGTTTCTTCTCTAATACTCCTTCTTCTCTTAAAAGGGCTGAATGTGTCTCAATACTTTTTTCTGAAACCAATTAATTTTTTCAGCTGAGCTTTTCCATAACATCTATAGTGCACAGGCTTAGATTAGAATGGCTCAATTGATTGATTTATAGAATATAACTTTATCTTTGTATAACAACTCAGTAGCATATTAATAAGATAGCTTCTTAAAGCCAAAGTAGTCTATCATTGGCAATTAATCCCAAAGAGTCAAAACTGGAATCAAACTGAAATGTAAATGTTACCACCATATATTCTTTTGGTGGGTTTGAAGGTTTTTCCTCATTAACACCATAGTTTTCATTTGTTGTAAATTTATGAAAAAGTCACATTACATCCAATTTTTTAATCAATCTTTCACAAGTTCCTTGTATAGAAGGCTTGATATATGTTCTGCGGAGACTTTTCTTAGACTACCAGTTCTTTTATAAGTGCACACATTCAAAAACAATATGGCTTTTTACCCGATGTGAACATTTTCATGAAAAGATCCATGATCTATTTCTATAAATCAATTGTCAATTGAAAGTGATAATTTTATTTTAAAAGTGATAACTTATGAATACAATATTAAGTATATCAATAAAATTAATTATAGATTAATCCAGCTGCCATCCATTATTAATATTGTAATATTCCATTATTTTACAGTGAGGGAAGTGTATTAGTAGACTACTTTGTAGAACTTAGCGAGCTTGGGCGTACAGTAAACACTGCAGAAATGAAACGTCTCTTCCACGAAAGCTTGACTAAGTACTCGGCTAATCAGGCTGCACTAACAGCTAGTCCAACTGGAAATGGCACAGAATATAAGCTAGGAAAATTCATCATAGATCCAACTTTCACTGACTTCATAGGTATGAATTTTTATATTTGTTGGTTAATAAGGAGCATGTTCTCAGTAATTCATTTCTCAGTGAGTAATTTTCTGAATTTGTGGAAATCTTTACAGTCATACAACCATATTAACCAATTTTAATATATTAAGAAATAATATCATGAACATAAAAATATTCAAACAAAAATTAAATAATTTAAACAACCTACTTTACTTCGTAAAAAAAAAAGAAAGAAAAAAGGTTTACAACTTACAAATTAGTATTTTTACACAAAAATGTTCCAAATAACATTACAGATAATAAGTTTAAATGGTAATTATTTTAATAACTATCTTTATATAGACAGCTGCTATAAGCGCAACATATCGATGATTAGATGATTAATTTATTTTTCATAAAGTAGGTTCTCATGCTGTAGTTGTTTTTATAGAATCATGTCAAGTTTGGTTTCTACCTTCAATACCTTTAATTTTTTATATGTTTATTAAAAATACGTACAAAAATTGATATTTTAATTTTTATGCCTTTAGCTTCCCCTTAATTCAAAAGCTATTAAGTGTTAACAAGAATTACTTTTATGACTAACAAAAATCGAGTTATTAACAAACTCATTTTTTTTTTTTTTATATATTCAAGAGAAGTAGAACTATGTAAGAATAATGTTTCTAATTGTGATTTTCAAGAAATATTTTGGCTAAATAATAAATGCCCTTAAAGTTTATATATTTTTTTTTTATTTTTTAGTATTGCCTAAACAAGTTATACCAACTGTTGGCTATGCTGAGGAAGATGAACTTTTGCCTCAATGGGCTATTGCTGTAATAGTTATTGGGTTGGCCTCACTTCTATTTGTTATCATCTTTGGAGTTACTGTTGTAAGTATAATATACTTATTTTATAATTAATTGAAAAATTTATTGTGCATTGTAAAAATATGTTTTATTGTAATGTATAAATATATAGACAGAAACCTAAAAAGCATTTGAGTAGCTAAGGAACAAACTCTAGTGGATGATAGAAATTTATGCCCTAGTTTAAAGTGACTTCACAATCTTCATCAAAAAAGAGACCTATCCTTATAATAGGGGAGGTGGCATGTGTGGCTTTGTAATTTCATTTCCTTGGTGCTCTTAAAAAGAAGTTGAGAGCCAGGCAACAGAAGAATCTCCTAGAGATGAAAGATGTGAACATAACTCAATCGAAATGAAGACAGACAGGAAAAGTCTCAGAACAGTTTCCTTTGGCAAGAGACCCATTTGTAATATCAAGCTTAGCTACACAAAAAACAAAACAAATTAATGTAACTTTAGGCAGCAAGATTATTCTCTATTCGAGGAACACTTGAGAACAGATACATTCCAAGCTGTTTCAAGAAGGATCATGAATAAAGAGAAGTGTGATAGGTCATTATATAGATTAAAGTCAGCTAATGAACACCTATGGAGCCATTTTATAAATTGTTATTTAAATAATTAATGCACCCAAAGTCCCTTACATTCTATTTTAATTAAATACTGGTTATTATTGTCAATGTTTTGTATAAACTGACATTATTACGTTTGCATCGTTCTAAATAAAAATCATCCTTTCCTAGAATTGCCAGTTTTCTCTTTCTGGTAAAATTTTACTGATATCACAGATTTGTACAATCCTCATGTTTTATTTCCTTGGATATTAACAGATGACTTCCATCACAAAAACATCGAGTATGATAAAATGGACTTAATTAAAATGAATAGTTGATGAGCATTCGCCAACAATTTATTAAAATAAAAAACTCCTATTTAACATTCCTGGACGAGAGGATAGCTGATTAAAGCAAGCTGAGAGCAAAATTAAATGATGGGAGAGAAGGAAAAAAAAAAAGAGTAAAAATGAGACCTGTAAAAGAAGAAAAAAATGCATGCACAAGAAAATATTAAAAACTAGAAATATTTAAATAAATCAAAAAATGGAAAATAAATGTAAATCCCTTTTTTGAATGTTCACAATATTTATTATGGTGGAAAAAAGATATATACCAATGTTGAAAACAAAACAACATGAAAGAAAAGTATTAAAATGCACTGAAATAAAATGAAACATAAGATACAATATTCAGAGAAAATAAAAACAAATTAAACATTAGGAAAAAATATATAAATAAAATCAACTTCTAAAACTATAAATAAAAAAAGAGAAAACCATTACTCTTCAAAAGAATAAAACTAATTTATTAGGAGAAACAAAATTTATTTATTTATTTATTTTAAATGATATTTACAACTGTATACAAAAAATACATCTGGTAAATTCGCACATTGGTATAAAGACATGGAACACATGTTGAGAAACTACTCATTGGTAGCACTTTAATAATATGTCTATATTAGAAGATCACGTGGCCATCTTTTTTTCAGACGCCTCGGAGGGTTATCGGGAATCGAATAGGAAGCAAGGTTAGAGACAAGAGGGTTGGGATGGTTATGAAGTTTATTATGGAAGGACAGATATCTGGATTGGGCCAAATCTGATACATAAGGAACATTAAGGTCATTATGGATAATTTTATTTGCAACAAAGTAAGGAGCATTGAGGATTTTACGAAGGATTTTGGATTGCAAGGACTGTATGCGAGAGGAATTTGAAGGCTTGGTGGAGCCCCATAGCTCGACCCCATAAGTCCAAATGGCCTTATTATAGTCATGTAAATCAATCTTTTATAATTGATTGGAAGGTTAGAGCGTTTGTCTAGTAAGTGTTGAAGTAGTCGGAAACGTCGAGCTGTTTCTTGTCGTTTCAGTCTGGTATGAGGATTCCAAGTTAGTCGTTTGTCCAGATGGAGTCATAGGTAACGGATTTGTTCAACAGGAATAAGTGAGGTGTTGTTAAAGGATACTGAAGGACAGGAAGTCATTGGTTTACGACGAAGGTGAAGGTAATTTGATGGGATTTATTGGAATTTATTTTAATTCTCCAGTTCTGACACCGTTCTTCAAGGTTTGTGATGTGGGATTGAAGGGTTTGGGATGCAATAGATGGGTCGTTATTAGCTGATAGGATACATGTGTCATCAGCATATGTCGTGATGACAGTGTTGGGATGGGTTGGGATGTCAGCTGTATAAACTGTGTAAAGGATAGGACCTAGGATACTACCTTGAGGAACACCTGCAGACTGGGAAAAACGGGATGTATATACATTGTTGTGATTTACTTTAAAGTATCTATCAGTAAAGTAGGAACGGATAATGAGGAAGTAGGTAGATGGTAGGAATTTTCGGAGTTTGTACAGCAGTCCCGGGTGCCAAACTCTATCAAACGCCTGTTCAACATCGAGAAAGGCTCCCGTACAGTACATATCGCGCTCCAATGCAGAGGATACTACGTCTACCACACGATGGCATTGTTGTATAGTGGAATGGGAGGAGCGGAATCCAAATTGGTGACCTGGGATTATGTGATTAGAATCTAGGATTGGGTACAGGCGTTTTAAGATTAGTTTTTCCAGGATTTTTCCCATGATGGGTAACAGAGAGATGGGACGGTAAGAGGATGGATATTCTGGTGGCTTTTTGGGTTTGTGGATCATTTTGACAATAGATATTTTCCAAGGATCAGGGGAGAAACAAAATTAAATTAATGTTTAAATGTCTTGGTGATGGTGAGAATGAAAAAAAAAAAAAACGAGCCAAGTTGGGGGTTCTGCTTCCAACCATGTTACCTTATACAGCTAATGACAACAGCAGTCGATGGTGGGGGAATCGATATGCATATCGATCCTGATCGATGACAGCTGGGGTCTTCAAAATAGCGCTTGGCTGGCGCAGGTGAGGTGAAGATGAGCCTGGAGCTGGTGATTACATGTATTAGATGTCGATTACATGGATCCAACCCAAACGAAGGATCGCTCCAGACTGGCTTTCAGGCAGTATTATGGCATTATTTTGATATCTTAATCTCTAAGACTGGGTATTACTGCCTGTGTGTATACAAGCCTGGGGGCTGGTGTGTGTATACAAGTGCGATAATACATCGCAAATAAACCTAAATATATAAATACTGTAAACTTAAATACATTTCTAGGACACTATCCCTCAGCTGTTTACCAAAAAAATAAATAGACAATTTTATTATTAACATTTAAAAGGGATGAATGGTGAGAAAAAAATAATAAAGATACGACTGTATGCAGCGTTAAGACTGATTATTAGATGTTTTTTGGCAGAGTAGTATAATCCTTCCCTAATCTGTGTTGTCAGCTAGAAGACAGTATGAAAATAAAAATAAAACTAAGGTGTGTGCTTTAGACCACACGATAGAAGTGAAAACATCAACAAGACGAGATTAATAATATGAAATATAAATTATAAATAATATCTCATTATAAAGGGAATGAAATTCTGAACATTTCAGTATGCAGGTCCAGTTCTTAGTGTCTGAGATATTTTATTTAATCCATATTTTCAATAAAAATTATTATCGTTTGGTTTTCAACACTATTTTTTCCTTTTCGCCTCTCTAACACAGTGTCGGATTAAGATAAAATTTTGAATAATAGTACATTAGAAAGATGATGAAATGCCCAACATTTCCCTTGCTTACAGGATGCAGGTCCAATTTTCATTTTCAGAGATATTTTAATCCATATCTTCAATGAAACTTGTTATCATTTGGTTTTTTACACAATTTTTCCTTTTCGCCTCTTTAACACAGCATCATGGTAAGATACAATTTTAAATAATAGCACATTAGAAAGAGGATGAAATGCTGAGCATTTTCCTCGCTTATAGTATGCAAGTCCGATCTTTCTCAGATATTTTAATCCATATGCAAAAACACTTCAATTAATCGACTCCAGCCTACTTTACTCGAGCGTTACACTTTTGAAATCTGACGGTTCAATCTAATTCACTCTCCACAAAAAAAAGTGCAAAACACGCCTAAAGAAGTTTTCACTTCAATAAAGATTCTATCATGATATAAATATAAATCTCATTGGGAAAAATCATATTGACTTCTTTTTGGCTTTAAAATGAATTTCATCTATATCATAACATTTTATTTTTGTTTCTGAAATAATTATTAATTTTCAATCATATCTTCTTTTTTTTTTAATAGCTCGTCAATCGCCATAAGAATGCTAAAGCAAAACAACCTGCTGCTCTCACTGAAGATATGCTGCATGAACTGAATAAGAACCACATGGGTGGCTTAGACAACTTTGGGGCTGATGACCTGTATAATATGGAGGATGTTTGGAATGACAAACCTCCCAAAAAGGTAAAAAATAGTTTAAAACATTATCAACAGGTTAGATTAAATATATAAAGATAAAAATGTTTTTTCTAAATTAACTCCAAGGAGTCCTTCACTGAGGCCAATTACTGATCATGGACAAAAAGAACTTTCAAGAACTGAGAAATGTTATAAAGCATCCTTTCAAGAAATAGTTGGTCACCTAATAGGTTCCCTAGTAAAATTCTAAAAATTAGTTTAAATTCTTGCTCTGAATAAAAAGCTTTAAAAAACGGAAATTATTTATTCAATGTATATATATATTAGGGAGCGGGGTAGCTCAATGGTAGGGCACTAAGCTAACAGTACTTTCCCTAAATAGTACTGAACTCAAGATCCTTCATGGGGTAGTGGTACAGGTTTTTTTTTTCTTTTATATACTTACAGTGACTCACAAAACCGTAGCAAAGACATGTATGTTACATTATATTTATAGAAAAAAATAAAACTACAATTTTATTCATTACTACTCATCGATAACAATTTAGTAGTGCATGAGAGGTTTTATTCTATAAAGGTATTATGGGGATTAGTCATTTTTTACACGCATAGAAGAATTTATTTGCCAGTTTGTTCATTGCAACAGTGTTATGACCAGCATAAATTGAGGTGAAATACTTATAAAACTCGTAATAGTTTTAAAATTTATTGAATGAAAAAATTATTTCTCTGTAAAAGGAATTGAATGGATGAGAAGGATGAGGAAAATGTGAAATAATAATTTGACTTCAGATCAATAATGTTTGACCTTATAATAGAAATAATCAAATATTAACTATCTCTTCTTTAGCCGAAATTAATTTGAACTCAAAGTGGGATGGTAACAAAAATTTGTATGATGCTAAATTTTTAAAATAATGATTGATGCATATTTTTTATTTAATTTCCTGCTCTCTTGTAATATTTCATTTTGACTTTTATATGATTTAATTGTAAACTCTTATGTTTTCAGAGGTCTTCTGGTTCATTACAAGAAAACAGCATGGCTAACTTGTATGATAGCTGGAGATCTGAATGGAATGGTTATTATTATAATGCTTATTATGGAACTGGCTCCGGTTATGGAGGGCGTAGACGATCGGACTATGACACCAACTTTTAAGCTTGTCGATTGTTGTTACTTTTCCTCATCGTGTTTTTAAAATTTTGATTCTATATATACACTTTAAGCCAAAAACAGTGTACTTAAAACACTTATAAACTCAAGTGTTTATTCACATTTTTGTAATTATTTTTGTATATGAATTAAGTTATTTCTGATGAATATTAGATAAAATATCTATTAAATAAGAAATGCTTAATTAAATTTGAAGTATTATTGAATGTTATTTTTAATAATAATAATTAAACATTGTTGAAATTATTAAAGATATAATGAGTGTTTGTATGTACTATAAAAGTGTTAAGGTTGCATCTATTTGTATTTTGTAGTAAAAGCTTATTATGTTATTATTAAATTGTCGACTATTTAATCCAAAAATGGACATATGAAATATGTTTACTGCACTGTGGCCATTTTTCTAAGAATGTTAAATTTCAACCACATAAGACATATCAGACTTCATATTTTCTCTGAAATATGGTTTATTAAAATAAACCTCCTTAATTCAGTAGAGCCCTGCTTATCCATCCTATCACAATTTAATATAAAGAGTCTGTTTATCCTGAGTGTATTAAAGAAGTTTTCTTTAAACACCAATATTAATTTTAATATGTACATTTGGTACGGTCAGATGTATAGTAATTATGATAAGTTAAATTTATTAGACCAATTGATTATGATATTAAATAAAAATTTATTCAGATAAATGATTATTGAAGAATACAAATGGTCATTCAGTTTTTTTATAGTTTTCATTTATTTTTTAGTAAAGATACAACACCCTCTCTTAACGTATCTGCCAACCAAAAGTAAGATATTTGCTGTTTGTTACCATTTCTCTTCATTAGATGGTAATCCTTTTAATACTCTAAAGTTCACGGATCAATATTTGCTGAAGTAGTACCAAATTTATCTTTTGTTTGTAAATGAACTTTTATTTTGAATAATTTTGTTTCCATTATAATAGTCAACTATGTGGAACTGTTACTTAAATCTCCCCTTCCCCTTTTTGCTATTGGTTAAATGGGGTTCTACTTTACATTTATTCTGGTAAATTTAAATTAAATGCTAAATATAAAATGGATGTAACCGTCTTTAAAAAATGAAATTAACTAAAAATTTTAAGATAAGGGCAAAACAATTTTCATTTGTTATTTTCTGATTGGTTTAAAAGTCACTTGAATCAAGTCTGGTGAGTCTTCAAAACAAGAGCCCATAGTTGTGCATGAACATATTGTCAATTAGAAATATTGCACGATTATAGAACAAAAGATTCAAGGTGCCAATAATTGTTACCAGTAGGAGGAAAAAATTGTCGACCTCAACAGGCAATTGAACGGTCCTGTCATTTAGCGTTTTTAAACGTCATTAATTGTATATTTGTATTTACTATATATTATAATAATTTGACAATTGTAAATATTTTAACCGGTCACCAATATAATTTATATACTTTCTTCCCTCACACTCTTCCTTTTTGAAGCTAAGACCAAGTTTCTAGATTAAATATAATTATGTAAGGGACTAATATATATATAAATATATTTTAGATAAATAAAGTTAAGCTCAATTCTATTGTAAATTTAGAAAAGGTGTCTTAGGCTGAGGGAGAGAGTGATGAGCCCATGGCCTTGTGAGTTAGTCATTTCTAGTCAGGCACAGGGTTTGTAGGCACCGGCTTATAATCTTTTTCTTGCATTTTTTTGCCAAAAATGTGAATACACCTAGGGTCTTTTCTCCAATCCCTATTCTGCATTACAGGAATTTTATTTGTGATTGTATTTTAAAAGTTTGTTTATTGTATTTTACGACCCGAATTAAATGTTTCTGGATGTCAATACTCGTTGCTGTAATTAATTAGATAGTGTTGAACTTATTTCATATTTTTAGACGTTCGCATTAATATTTATATGAGCCTATCTTTCAATTGTTAATATTTATGATAAGATTATTATTAACATTTTCCTTATCGCAGGATAAATATAAAATAATTTTAAACCATTCCAATGTTAAAACTATCTTTATTCTTTCATATTTTAAAGTAGTTTTAAATATATTTATTTAGTTTTAATTATTATGAAGTTTTTAATGTCTCTTTTTGTTACATAATTTTTTTTTTAAATCGATGTATATTAAAAAAAAAGATTAATGCATGAAACAATTTTATATAAATGTAGCAATCTAGTTTTATATATGATGTACATCCATAGAAAATTTATGAATAAATGTATTGTTTCTTATGATCTTGTTTTTACCCATCTCATAACTGTAAAATGAACAGTTACATTTTAAACAAACAATAAACCAACTAAAGAAGTTGGATTGAAAAAAAAAAAACACTATGCTTAATTATTGTTCGCTGCAAAATTGAATTAGTTTTATTATATTACCTTTTAACTGAGCTTAAAATAAATTTTAACTTTTACTTTTATTCAATTTCAGTATGACTGGAATGCTTATTTTCAATATGTTCAATTTCAGAACTCGAAATTTTTTCTTGCAATTTTACAAGTAAACATTTTACAGAATTTTTATTTAAAAGTTCTGTTGATTTCACCAAAAAACTATCTAATTATGACTTTTTTCCTTTGCAACTCAAACCAATGACACATTGAAATCAAATAATTCATTTAAGATAAATTATAATCCTAATCCAAGCCAAATTACTATTTATTTTTTATTTAATGCAACGTTTTTTTTAATTAAAAAAATGGAAGTTTATTTAAATACTTTTATCATAAACCAAGAACTTTATAAAAAAGTTTCTTATAACTTATATTTTAACAACCTTGTTTCCTAAAAATGTTCACAGAAACTGTTAAAATGGTTAATTATTGTTTGAAATGCTTAATAATTTTAAAAAAATTCAGCCAGTTTTCTCGTGTATATTTTTTTTTCTTCTTCTTCTTCCTCCTCCTGTCTTTCAGCGTGGACGTGCCTCTATCCATGCCAGCCCCACATCCAGGTCTCTGGCCAGCGCCTTCATGGCATTTAGTCCAAGTCCTCTTTGATGTCCCAGCTCGGAGATCTGGTCCATCCACATTAGCCTAGGTGTGCCCCAGGGACTTCTTCCAGTTGGCCTAGCTTCAAAGTACTTCCTTGGATCCCGATCTTCTTACATTCAGCAAAGGTGGCCAAACCATTTCAGCTGCCTTCTTTCAACCACTTCTTTTACAGCTGAAACTCCCAGGTCCCCTCGTATTCGCTGATTTCTAACCAGATCTCTTCTGGTTTGACCAGTCACTCTCCCAGGTACCACATTTCTGTAGCCATTAGTCAGCTCTGGTGCTTGTCCAGTGGGACCCACCTTTCTCTGAAGGAGAACAATAGGTAGGTATATAACCTTGAAAATGTGCAGCTTCACGTTTTTGTCCACTTCTCTCTTTCCAGCAATTGTGTTGCAAAGTTGATATTATTTGCCTTTTTGATCCGGTTGGAAACCTCACCATCAATCTTTCCATTCCTGCTGATAACTGTAACTTCTTCTTCTTTCTCTAGCTCCTTTGTGTCGTAAAGCGTGGAGCTGCAGTCCCTCAGCCCATCTTGACCACTGGTCTCTGTCCCTGGCTAGCCTTTTCACCTCCGGTATGGTACGTCCTCTTGCTGTGCCCAGTTTTCCAAAATAATCATGGTAAGTGTGTCTTGGCCTGCCACGAGGTCGTCTGCCTTCCAGTCTAGCTTCCATAAACCTATAAGGCTTGGCCTTTCGGGTGTCGTCCATTCTGCAGATGTGCCCGAACTATTTCAACTGCTTCTCTTCCAGGATGCCATGGATTGATGTCACCTCCAATTCCTCACGGGTTCTGTCATTTCTAACACAGTCCCTCTTAGTTTTGCCAGCTATTCTTCGGAGAAATCTCATTTCCGCTGCTGTGATCCTGTCTACGTGCTTATCGAGGGTTGTTCCGCTTTCAGATCCATAAAGAAGTACTGGGAGGAACACCGCCTTATATATCATGAATTTGGCATTTCTGCTTACTTCCCGTTTTCCCGTTTTATGATTGTATTGGCTATCTGGTAATATTGGATATATTCCCATTGGCCTTCATCACCCGATTTAGTACCTCCTGGTCTATTTTAGCATCTTCATTGATGATTGTCCCCAGATAACTGTAGGCATTTGTTACCTCTAGGGGTTCACCATTATTTAACATCATAGGCTCCGCATTATCTTTTCCCACGCACATAACCTTGCTCTTAGACAGATTTATATGCAGCCCTCGCAGCTTCAATTCTTCTTCCCACTCGACCAATGATGTCTGTAGAGCCTCTTGTGAATCCACTATGAGAATTATATCGTCGGCATACAACATAACTACCTAGGTAGGTATATTCCTCAGTCTTCTCTAAGGTTTCTCCTCTGATCATTCTGATCGGATCTCCACATTTTCTTCATTTCATTCTATACACATTACCTTTCTCTTATTTGCATCCCTTTCTATCCTGCTTAGCATCCCACTCTATGATTGCTTGCTGCAGGTTTTCTTTTGAATTCCTTTTTTGTGTATAGGAATGAGGATGTTATACTCCCACTCCTTCGGCACAGTTTTTTTAGAAAAAGCTACTTGAAAGAGATTCTGTAGGTGATTCTGGTCCTCCAAACATGGCAATGACATCCGACCTTGCTGCTTTTCTGGTCTTTAATTTTTCTAAAGCCCTTTCCACATCCTCTTCCCAGATTATGTCATTGTATTCTTATTCTGGTAATATCCTATCCGCAGCTGTTTCCTCGCTTTTGTTGGAAAACACTTCAACATAATGGCGGTTCCATCTCTTCAAGATATCTTCATCTCTAGTTACCAGTAGTCCTCCTTCGTCCTTTATATTCCTTATGAGCTTATTTGTATTCCATTTTAATTCCTTGATAGTTTTCCAAAAGATTTTTATGTTTTCTTTATAGCCATTTTGGAGGCTCTGACCAAATTCCTCCCAGCTCTTCTTCTTTGCCACTCTAACTACATTTTTGGCTTCATTCCTTCTCCTGACATAGAGTTCCCAGTCCGCAGCACTTTTGGTCTTACAGTATGTTTTCCAAGCCAGCTTTTTCCTTCCAATTGCAGCTTTAACTCTCTCACTCCACCACTAACTTTTTGCTTTAGCGGAGATCGCTGCTGTTTCACATATCGTTTCTACAGGATAGCTTTTTTCATTTCTGTCCACATTTCTATCCATTGTGCAATTCTAGAGTTTCTGAGTCAGGAATTCCGCATAGTCTATTTTCTTCTATGCAACTTTGAAATATATATTTTCTTATATTTCTTCTTAATTTTTTTCCTAGGTTGGAGGATTTAAGTGTCTCCAATCAAGAGATAATGGTCTGACCCTATTTCTGCCCCTCTTATGACTTTTACATCTCTAAACATTTCTTCTGATGTTTCTGCTGTATATAAAATAATCTATAATGCTATTTGCATTTCTTTCCTCAGCAGAAAACATGATCTTATGGAGTACTTTATGTGGAAACATGGAGTTCTCAATAAGAAGATCATAATATAGCATTTCCAAGTCAATTTCAACCTTTTCCAAGTCAAATTCAACCTTTTCCAAATCAAATTAAACTTTTTCCAAGTCAAATTCAACCTTTTCCATTTCAAATTCAACCTTTTTTTATTTATTTAATTATCTTTAATTTTTCGATGCGTGGGTCTGTTATCGTATGAGTAGTTTTTTAAAATAATCTCCTTTTTAAGATTACATGACTGCGTTTCGAATTATTTAAGTTTTTTTTTATTTATTCGATATAAGGGTGTATTTTTATGTTTCCCGATCAGTAAATTGTTAAAATGACATCTATTTTATGATTACGCCACTGTGTTTTGATTTATTTAAGTTTTTAGAATTTATCCAATATAAAGGTCTACTTTTTTGTTTCCGGAGCCGAAGATTTTGAAAACGACCTCCATTTTAAGATTAGGCCACCGCGTTTCGACTTATTTGAGTTTTTCGGATATTTTTCATATGAGGGTGTATTTTTATGTATCCGGAGCTGTAGATTTTGAAAATGACCTCCATTTTAAGATTAGGCCACCGCGTTTCGACTTATTTGAGTTTTTCGGATATTTTTCATATGAGGGTGTATTTATGTTTCCGGAGCTGTAGGTTTTGAAAATGACCTCCATTTTAAGATTAGGCCACCGCGTTTCGACTTAGTTGAGTTTTTCGAATATTTTTCATATGAGGGTGTATTTTTATGTTTCCGGAGCTGTAGATTTTGAAAATGATCTCCATTTTATGATTACGCCACTGCGTTTTAACTTATTTAAGTTTTTCGAATTTATCCAATATTAAGGTCTACTTTTATGTTTCTTGAGCCGTAGATATTGAAAATGACATCCATTTAATGATGACGCCATTGCATTTTGACTTATTTAAGTTTTTCGAATTTATCCAATTTAAAGGTCTACTTTTATGTTTTCGGAACCGTAGATTCTGAAAATGACCTCTATTTTATGATTACGCAACTGCGTTTCAACTTATTTAAATTTTTAGAATTTAACAAGTATAAAGGTCTAATTTTATGTTTCTGGAGCAGTAGATTTCCCCCATTTTGTAAATGACCCAATTTAAAGTTTATGCCACTGTTTTAGATTATAAAAGTTTCTTTTTTTACTTTTTCGGTATAAGGATCTACTTATATGTTATCCGAGACATATTGAAATTTTTCTAATCTTTAATATTTAAATTTATCTAATATTTAAGCTCCATTTTATGATTAAGCCGCTGCATCTTGATTAATTAGGCTTCATTTTGGATTTTTTCAATACGAAGTTTCATCAATATGTTTTCGAGTATGAATAAATAAATAAATATTATGAAGCTAAAGTAAAATTAACCACAGAATACAAACTAAAAAGCCGAAAAGCAACTGGTAATAAATTTAATCTTCCGTATTCAGATTTTTCAGCTAATTGTTCGAAATCTTATAATTTTATGATAGGAGACCACAACTTTAAAAAAGATAACTAAAATTAAATTAAAAATGAGACAATACATATTTTATTTATTTTGAGTAGATATTTTTATTTATTTATTGAAAAATAAATTAATCCTTCGTATTATGTTTTTTATTCGAAGGAAAAATCAAAAACACTTAACAAAACCGAAACACAGTGGCCTAATCTTAAAATGTAAGTCGTTTTAAAAACTAAGGCTCCGGCATCATAAAAGTAGACCTTTAAATTGGATAAATTCGAAAAACTTGAATATGCCGAAACGTAGTGGCGTAATCTTAAAATGGAG